GTATCATCAAGTAGTATCGAACTTAAGAAATCTAAACCAATGAACCTAAAACCTAATTGCTACGCCCATCAAAAAATTTGGGAAAACGATCAGTAAAAACATAAAGAACATTAGGGACTTTTCGTTACTGCTTTTGATGGCTACCAGAAGACCAGAGGCCATTAAACCTAAATACCTTGTTCATGAAAACCTAATATCTAGTTCCAACATGTCAACAAAATTGGAAAAAAGTTGTGGACGTGACAATAATTCTTGGTGGCATTCAAAACTACGTACTGAACTTTCTCCATATCTCTCAAGGTGTTATGTCCCAAGAGGTCTTAGGTCTAATAGTACTTAAACATTTTGGATTACTGAAGTTTGTAAGGTGCGACCGTAACTGAGCGGTCAAAACCTGGCGACTGACCTGAGGCCAGGGCAAGCTGGTCTACGTAGTGGGTTCAAGTCCCACACACGGCAGAAAACTTTACTATATTTACTGTTTTTTTTTCTTGGCTGTAATTACATATTAAAGTAAATACAGATAAGAACCCAGTGGATACAATAGGTTTTGTTTCAAAGCTGAATATTTGCACAAAGTAGATGCCAAATTCTGAATTTTTATATTATTTAACTTTGATTTACGAATACAAATTTATATTAAAACGTTAGATCAGTATACAAGCTGTCCCAGTGTAAGCGTGCAAAAATTTATCAGAGGGTAGACCGGACGAAAATAAGAGACGAATAAATTCTTATGAAATATTTTTCTGCGATGCACTCTCACTGGGTCACAGGGTGTTGTTTAGAAAAAAATAATAACTTTCCGTAATAACTTCTTTCGATCTGATGCCAGGGAACGCCTAGGCCAACTTGTCCTGAAGGTTATGTCTTCATGATTTTTGCATGTCCTAGTTTTATGTAATTTGATTAAGTTTTTATGAATCTGCAGTCAATTCTAAACAAAAAATGTGGTATTGTTTCATAGCTCAATAATGAACCGTTTTCGAGAAAATCGATTTAAAGTATCGACTGCATTAATTTGTACAAAAAATGCACGTAAGATTTTATTTGTTGTTAACTAGTAGGTACCTAACATTATAAAAAACAAAGTTGTTTTTCGTTGAGGTACAGTTTCCAATGTAGCTGCGGCTCAATGAATATGGAGAAACTAAACAAGTTTTCTATGAATTATTTAATATTTGGTTACCTACGTATAGCGGAACTAAAAATAAAATTGAAAATTATGAAACAGAAACGAAATTATGTTAGCATCATGACAATATTAAAAATAAAAATAGAAAACAAATTATTTCAATAAATGCTCGAAATGCTGCCCATTTACTTCATTCAATACATGCCCGACATCGTTTGACTAAGGAATTAACCCCAAATCAACAGTTGCTTGAATTTGCTCCGTGGCTGCATTAATTTTTTGAAGCAAAATCCGTTTGAAAAATTAAAATAGACCCAGCACCAATGCAACCAGAATTTAAAAAAAAAATGTAAATTTTAATTATCCGATTGAATCAATCGATCTCATTTTATTCGTATTTCGATTCTCTACAAATTGTCTATTTATAGCATTCAGATTGCTTTGTTACTTTTGTTAGTTTAGGTTTTGTAAGCAAAAAACTAAAAAAAATGCGTTTTTGCATAAAAATGTTTATAAAAAATTAATTAATGGTAAACTAGAGTAGGAAACATACAGGGTGTTTCATTTCGAGTGAATCAAACTTTAACCACAAATAGAATTCAATAAATAGTTCAGAATTGCCTTATAAAGCAAGGGTCCCACCGTTTTCACTGTTCAGGGCCGTATTGGTCGGTTGTTAAAATCATATTACATATGTACAAAATCTTTGGTATCCTTATAACAAATTAATTCAAATTTGGTGTGGTGTTAACATTTGCACATGTGCATAATTTACTGTAAAATTTACAAATTTTTGTAGGTTAGTGGCTTAGGAATGGGTAATAAAACGGGATTTCTTTACCCCAACTTCTTCGCCAATGACCTAATGACCAATGACATTTGGGATTCATTATTAGATTCCGCGAAAAATTTTACATAAAAAAGGTATACTTGTTGAAAATCGGTACAGGGTACCGTTTTACCGAAAATCTCAGATGAATGATAAGGGAATCTTAAATATTCAACAATTTTTTTACAAACACTAACTAATATTTCAAATATTAAGAATAAAATGACAGTTCCTGATGACAGATAAGTCTATTATTGATTAGTTGTTTATTCATGGCAATCATTCTGTACGGATACTTTAATGGACGCACAGCACAGATTTAAAATTAATAAGTAGGTGTAATTTTTTAAAGGAATTATATTTGTTTGAAACAAATGGACCGTTGAATGAGCAAGGATACCTATAATTGCTTCAGAATGACATAAATAAAATTTTAGGGAAGGTGCCATTGAACATGCTGTCCACCGCACTGCAGCGCAAAAAAAATGAGCTCAGAGAAGGAATTCAGTACATTACGAATGCAATAAATAATACACAAGGGATTATATTTAAAATTTACTAGTCGTTTTGCCGATGTAGACATTATTTAATATTGTTTTGAATTCTAAGGTAATATGTGGCATTATAATAATATTAATTTAAAATTTATTTCCTATCCTTAAGAAACTAAATTTCTTATAAGAAGAACGGTCTCCCGTTCATTTGAGATTTTCGGTAAAACGATACACTATACCGATTTTCAACAAGTATACCTTTTTTATGTAGAATTGTCCTCGGAATCTAAAAATGAATCCGAAATGATTATTAGGTCATTAGCGTAGAAGTTGGGGTAAAAAAAATCCCAATTTACTACCCGTTCCTACGCCATTGACCTACAAAAATTTGGAAATTATGCACATATGTAAATGTTAAGGTAGTTCAGTCGGTATGACAGAAACAGATAGTGCTGCGCAACAAAGACAGCGAGTCTGTTGAACATGTGTGTGTGTGTGTGTGTGTGTGTGTGTGTGTGTGTGTGTGGAATCGAAAAGTCCAGTGTAATTCTACAATTCCTGTCAGATAAGAATTCTTTAATATTACCAAACCTCCATCAACTTTCGCGCTCATTTTTCTCAATTTAGTCCCCATTTAAGCGTACTCATTCATTATTGTTTTTAAAAATTTATTTCATACTAAATGGTCAATCATAATTTTTTTTTGTACCGAAATAATAAAAAAAAATTATTCTACACATACAAAAATTTGTGCATGAACGGTAAAAGTGGTTTATGAGAAATATAACGAATCCCTATCTCCCACGTGTTAATTCTTTAAACACTGAAAATTAATTTCTTAAAAAAGAAATGGTCAATCGATTTAAAATTTAAATGTTATTCAGAACTGCATTAACTATCGAACTATAAATTTGCGTACGTGTCTTAAGCCTAGATTTTATTCAATGGAACTACTTTAACACCACACCAAATTTGAATCAATTTGTTATAACCATAGCAAAGATTTCATAAATAATATGATTTTAAAAACCGTCCATGGCCCTGTACAATGAAAATGGTGAGGCTTAGACCCTTGCTTTATAAGGCAATTCTGAATTATTTATTGAGTTCTATTTGTGGTTAAAGATTGATTCACTCGAACTGAAACACCCTGTATAAGCATGTATCTACAGACTGCCTTTTATATGATGGCACAGTCCGTTTGCTACTAGTATTTATGTCATAAAATCACTGATTTAATGCTCACGAATTAATGCAGTCGATACTTTAGACCTAATTTACTCGAAAACGGTTCATTTCTGAAACAAAGGCGCATTTTTTGTTCAGAATTGATTGCAGATTCATAAAAACTTAATCAAATTACATAAAACTAGGATATGCAAAAGTTATGAATACATAACCTTGATGACAAGTTGGCCTAGGCCGCCCTTGGTGTCAGATGGAAATAAGTACCATGTAGATGGCCTTTAATAGATGTACATTTCATTCAAAAACCACTTAAATCCCTAAAACGGTTTTTGAATTATTGCGGAAAGTTGTTGCTATTTTTTTCTAAACAACACTCTGTAACTCAGTGAGAGTGCATCGCAGAAATATATTTTATAAGAATTTTAATCTTATTTAGGTTTGGTCTACCTCCTGATAAATTTTTGTAAGTTCACACTGAGACACCCTGTATAAAGTGAACATTACATTTTAATCTCATCTACTCTTACAAGTTGTCAACCTGTCTGATATCGCATAAGGACACTAGATACAGGATGTTTTTAAATGAAGTAGCAAAAATGGTACCAGTGAATGTAGAGCCAAAAATAAGAGGATTGAAATAAAAATACATTATATGAAAGTTGCACCCCTGAGGCGATATACCCTCTTAAAGGAAGAGATTGAAATTCACATTTTAATTTTTTTTTCTTTAACATGAGGAATGCTAGAGACACGAAACTTGGTATGAGCATCCTACTAATAGACAATTTTTCAATATTTTTTTGGATCATTGGCGTATTTTATAAAGGAGTGAAACAGTTACCTCTTTAGTGAACGATAATGCATCTAATTTTTTTACTAGAAAACTATCAGTTTTATCGAAATATTACAAGAGGTAAAAAAATTGCGCAATAAATCAGTCTTCCCAACAAATATTTTTAAATAAATAATTTGCTTCATATAAAAAATGTTTAGTAAAATATTGCAATGGGGTTGACTGTTTCACTCCTTTATAAAATATGTCAATGATCGAACAAATATTGAAAAGTTGTTTCTTTATTAGTAGGATGCTCATACCAAGTTTTGTGTCTCTAGCATTCCTCATGTTGAAGAATAAAATTAAAATGTGAATCTCAATCCCCTCCTTTAAGAGGGGTGCAACTTTCATATAATGTATTTTTACTTCAATACTCTTATTTTTAGCTCTACATTCACTGGTACCATTTTCGCTACTTCATTTAAAAACACCTTGTATATGATAATGACATAAGCTGAATATAAATAGTTTTGTATTTAACGGACTCACATTTGAATACATAAAATATTGTTAACCATTTACATAATAACATAAAAAAGTACATATTTTTAAAAAATACAATTTGTTGCAGTCTCTTATTTTTTATTTGGATTATATCTGGACTCCTGATACTGGTTCATTTCTCGAACATACAGATTTTGTTGAACATAATCTCGTACACTAAACACTTGAGACTGCCACTTACGATAAAACCAGCAATCGAAATCCTCGATACTCTCAAAACACAAACCCAATTGCCACAAACTTTCACTGCACTGATCAAAATACGAATTTAAGTGGTCCCAGTCCGCACCATCATAAGTTTCTCTGTATCTGTCGATATTGTCCTCTTTTTCCACGCACGTCCACTTCATAACCTCAGGATTACAATGACGGTTATCCGCATCGTCATCACTGGCTCGACCGATTGGCATGTCGGAAAATTCATCACCCTCATAATCATCACTGTTCTCTGTATATCCAGCTTTATCAGAATCGTTTGAAATTAGTCTTTCCTTTAAACGTAAATTCTTGAAATTGTTTAATTCCGATTTTGGTAGGTATGAACTCCAGTGTCGAGAGTTAGATTTCGTCGCGCAATGGTAACCTATTTTGAATATATCTTCCATACTATTTTCGAATTTACTTTTTTCTGTTCCAGGTAAATAATCAATTTCTTCAATATTTTTTAACAATTCTTCAACTGATCTGAATCTTGTATTCGATGCAATTTCAGCAATTTCACTTTTGTCCTGGTTTTTAATAGCATCGATGTAGTAATGCAACACATTTAGGTCTGGTTCTAGTTCACCAGATAATTTTTTACGTGACAGAATTTGTGTCACAAACAACAAAGCCTTGTTTTTATAGAAAATATTTTTTTCTGGTGTTTCCGCGGATTCGTTTGTTCGATCGATTAAAGCACTCGATACTCGACTTGTGTCACTGAAAGTCGAAGTTAATTGTTTGAAAGTAGAACAAGAACCGTGATTTCTGTTAATTGTGCCATCTGATGGTTTATTTAAAGGTACGGACGGATCCAAGTCTTCCGTGCTATGATTTGTAACACATTTTGTCGTTTCTTTGGAATTTAATCCTGATAAACCAGTATCTTTTCCCTCCGAGTAGCTAGATCTTCCGATTTCTTCTTCCCGTACATTCCCCGCATTTTTCTTCCGTTTCAAATCTAATACATTTTTCTTAATAGACGTATTCATCTCCGGTACATACGAATCATCTATAATTCCAAAAATACAGTTATCAGAAGAACTTTCCAATTTCAACAAATCCGATACGCTGCTGTTACAGATTGGCAACTTCGGTATTCCAAGAGAACAACCTCCGATTACACCGAGCATGCATTGCCACTGGTGAAGTGCGACTCCACTAGAGACGAAATCAACGCAAACACCCGAAGAACCGTACCGTCCCGCTCTACCCATTCGATGTAAATAAGTTACCGCGCTGGTAGGTATGTCGTAGTTGACGACTAAGTCGACTTTCGCCGCATCGATCCCTCTCGCTGTCAAGTCGGTCGATAGCAATATTTTGCACTTGAAATTCTTGAGGTTCTTTACCGTTTCCAACCTTTGAGGTTGGGATTGTGCGGCCGAGATAAACATGGAACACCACCCCTTTTGGTTTAAATAATTGCTTATACTTTCTGCCCTGGTCTGGTAATTTGTGAAAATCAAACACTGTGTAAAGGAAATCATGGAAAACAAGTTCAGAAGTTCCTCGTTTTTAAACTTGATCTCTTGTATTACCGACGTATACGGTTTAATAATCTTGACAAACTGTTTTAATCCCAGTAATAATGGAGTACCGGTTTCGACTTCTATATAAGTCAGCGACAACATGTATTTATTCAAAAAGGTGGACAATTCTTCCGGATACGTGGCACTAGTGGTTATAATTTGTTTCCTATCAGGTAAACAATTAAAAATCTCATTTATGTCATTTATAAAACTACACTCCATCAGCTTATCAACCTCATCGAGAACCAGGAGGTGTATTGAGTTTGGCTTCAAAACTCCTTCATCTATCAACTGTTTCACTCTTCCAGGTGTACCAACCGCTATGTGGCAATTCTTACATTTTTCTTTATCTCCTTCCAATGGCAATCCTCCTATAAATGATTCCACTTTGAGACCTGGAACATGATTTCTTAATTAGTGTTGATCTGCATTTATATCACATGATTACAAGGTGTATCAGTTTTAGTCTATGATATTTTGAGAGCAGATTGTACAATGAAAAATAATGGTACTTGCTAATATAAACTTATTTCGAAATCTCTACCATTTTTGAGACGCAGGGTGTTAACAGTGAAAAAAAAAAAATTATTTACTGTAAATATCTTCTGAAATAGTAGAGGTATTTGAACTAAATTTGGTGTACGTTATATCGAGTCAAATTTCCATGAAATACTGTAATATCAAGACTTTTGCGCAAGCATTGGCGGAGATATAGGAAACTCATTCAACTATTTTATTAAAAAAAAATAGTACAGTCCTGTGCAAAATAATAATTGAATACATTTTCTGAAAAAGCACACCAATGAAAACAAAAAAATGCCTTACATTTTGTTGATATCTCTCTCTCTGTTTTATGGTAAATTGGATTTCTTTTTTTCATTTCAAATTAGCCAGATACTGGGCGATAATGGATTTTTTAATTCCTGCTAGAAATATTTTGGATAGTTTCAACTAATTTAAATAAAAAATAAAGTAGCACCTTTTGAATCAATAATATTATAATTTGATTATTACAAGAACTTCAAAAGAATCATTAATTTCCAAGTTTTTTAGATTTCTCAAACATTTTTTGCCGCCAGTAAGTTTTTTTGTGTGAATAACACCGTTTCAGAAAATAAAATTTAAAGCAAAAATGAATGTATGAAATGAAGATGAAATTCACAAAAAATTAAGTAAAAGGTTAATAACAAAATTACATACTACATAATTCAATGCTAAAATTAAATTATCAGATTAAATAACTGATAAAAGATTATTGCCGCTACTAGTAGTATTGAGTACATTTCATAACAGGTATTCAAAATGGAAACTTGCCTCAATACATGCTCTGTAGTGTGTTAAAACATTTAATTGTATAATCTTGCATTAGTTTAGCCTTTAAAAATTATCAAAATTCAATAGACAATGATCTGTCCTCAAATCCTAAAATATTCTGGTCCCATATTAATTCAAGATCTAATTCTACCTCTATTCCATCCTGAATGAGTTATAATAGGATTCAGTTAAATAATCCTTCTGATATTGTCAATGCTTTTGATAATTATTTTTCTGATTCATTTCATTCACAACAGTGTTAATAGTTGTACACCCACATTGCCCTCTGTTATCTCTAATACTGTGTTTTTGATGTTATTGAAGATGACATGCAATTAAGAGAATGAAGGGTAATTTTACAATGGGACCTGATTTAATTCCTGCATTTTTACTAAAATAATGTAAAATAATTTTCACAAAACCTTTAAAAACTATATTCAATTCTATAATTACATATATAAAATATCCACAAGTATGGAAAGAGTCGCAAAACCCTGTTTATAAAAAAGGTACTAAGAACGACATAACTACCAGCCCATAGCTATTATAAGTAACTTCTCCAAAATCCTAGAAATAATTTTACACAATTGATTTTATTTTCATATTAAAAAATCAATATCTCCGTACCAACATGGATTTATGAGTGGTCGTTCAACTATCTCAAATCTACTTGAGAAAACCCAATTTATTGCTGATGCTTGCAGGAAGTCAGGTTGATGTTGTGTATACCAACTTTTCCAAAGCTTTCGATCGGCTTGATCATAATATACTAACATTGACATTGGAGTCATGTGGTATCTCCCCTGCTGTTATCTCTGTTTAAATCTTATTTTTGCAATAGCTACCAATTTGCGCAGTATTGTGGCTTTCACTCATGTAAATTTGATCTTATTTTTATAACTAAAGTGCACAGCCAAAGTTAAAATCGAAAAGAATATGCAGATACCGTTTATTGGTGATGAATAATTACGTGATGAAAATTCTAAAGCATAGACTAAAAATTCTCGATAGAAAGTTTCCTAATCATCAGATGTTCATTGAGAGTTTTCAACATTAGTGCAAAATTAAGGAGGTTCGATAGATCTCTTGCGGAGCAGGCGGTGCGGGAGGTGGGAAGCCTATGCTTATAAATGGTAGTTTCATTGAAGTACGAATGAAATTTATACCACACATATTAGCTCGCATATATTTTTCCTGTTTAATGCAGGGCAATTAACTTTTTATTTAAATAAATATGTCCATGTATTCATTAAGAGCTTATAAAACTATGGGCGAAATCTGGCAACATTGCACATCAGTGTGGCGTGGTGGTAAAAGTTGGGTCAACTGTCAAGTGTCAACTGTACTTGGCGCGTACGCCGTATACATGACAGTCGGAGAATTAAATACAGCGCACAGTGTTGCCATATTTCCTTTCATTGGATCTTTCCATTATCTCAATAACTACAATGTAAGTGCATATTTTTATTGTTTAAAATGTTTAGTAATATTTAATTACAATTTTATTACCCAATCCTAACCATTTTTAAGATCAATATTAATGTTTGATTAAATTTTTTTCCCAACTCCCATAAGAACCTATGTATAAAAGTATAATTATTTTTAATATCTTTCTCAAAAAAGCTACATTGGCAAACGCTCTGATATTTTTACACGAGGCAGTTTGGATATTTATTAACAGATTTCAGTTGCTTTGAAAACTTTCTTACCATTTTTTTCGGTATCGAACCTCCTTAAGTAGACTTTTACTTGGAAATTAACGAGACTCTTAAAATTCTTGTAATAATCAAATAATAATATTATTGATTCAAAAGATGCTACTTTATTTTTTGTTTAAATTAATTAAAACTAGCCGAAATATTTCTGACAGGAATCTGAAAAATCATTATCACACAGTATCTGGATAATTTGAAACGAAAAAAATTTGCTGTATAACAGACAGTCGAGAAAATGTAAAAGGCATTTTTTTCTCATTGGCATGCTTTTTGAGAAAATATATTCAATTATCATTTTGCACAGGACCCGTCTATTTTTTTAATAAAATAGTCGAATGAGTTTCCCATATCTCCACCACTGGTTGCGCAAAAGTCTTGATATTATAGTATTTTATGGAAACTTCACGCTATATAACGTACACCAAATTTAGTTCAAATAGCTCTATTATTTCAACAGAAATTTCAGTAAATGAAATCTCGAAAACGGTTGAAAATTCAAAATAAATTTATATGAAAAAGTACCATTATTTTTCGTTGTACTATCAACTCCAGAAGTCTCAGATAAAAACTGAGACACCCTGTATATAAGATGGTCCTGTATTGAAAACCCCAGGGTAAGAAAGGGATATGTATACAGCGTGTTTAGTAAGTACTCGTACAAACTTTAAAGGATGAATCTTTGACTAATTTTAAGATAAAAAGTTCATATGAACACGGGTCAGCAATGGCTTGGTTCTTGAGATACAGAACGTCCAAAAAAAAATTTATTTGGTATTTTGATTATATTTTTGTTCATTAACATGGCAATTTAACAAAGTTCGGGAAACTGGGAGTATTGATGATGATAAATTCAAATATTTACTTATGTTTTTGTTTAATGTTAGAGAGCGCCTCATACAGTGTTGTACCTGGATTTAAATAACCATAACTTTTTTTTATCGCACTGTACGTCATTTCATTTTTAACTACATAACTATTCTCCATTCAATTTTACGTACAAAAGGTATTCTTAGTATTTGTTGCTAAAAGCAGACGTTTTTTAAAAAAATTGGTTTAAGGGTAAAACAACGTTGGAATTTTTTAAGTTGAATCATTGAGTTTTTGAAAAATAAGCGAAAAAGAGTCATGTGTTATGTTACACTATCACCAAATTAGTGAAAATTAGAAAAATATAAAAATTTGGAAAAAGTGTGCTGCATCTTTCCTATGCAGCGGCAGTACACAAGAAAACAAGGTACCTGCTATGGCAAGCCATGGTTTCCATAACAGTATAATCGTCATGACAGTTGACTTCAAAATAGTACATTGCTATATTAGGATTAGACACTTCTAATTTGAATAAAACATGTTATTTTTTCTCCAACCGAAATCCCCCATTTAATTATTAATTTATGCTTTGAAATTATTCAAACCAAATTTGGATAATAAAGCAAAGTTATATCGATGTAGTTATGGATACTTTGTCAAACATTAGTCGCCATATTGCTAATTGAGTTCATTCGAGATTGTGGTTCAATTTTCTAAAAACTTTGTAAAAATGGAATCTAATGAAAATTTAACTGTACCTGAGGAGATACTGGAGGGTGCGAAAGAGATTTCTTTGAAACTTCTTCCAAAGAAATCTCAAGAAATTTATGAACGTTTTATGGATTGGTGCAAAGAAAAAAAATTAAGTTGTATTCAGAAGATGGTGTATTTCTCAAACTTAGCAAATAAAATGAAGCCGTCAACACTTTGGTCACAAAATTCAATGTTGCAGTCAATGTTGAATATAAAGAAAGGGATTGATATAAGCAAATATTCAAAGTTACATGTTTTTCTCAAGAGACAAAATGAGGGATATGTTACAAAGGAGCAAGTTGATTGCTTTTTGACTAGTGCACCTGAAAATTTATATTTGATGATAAGATAAAGGTAAACAATTTAAAAATAAAAAAACTAAATTTTTAAAAAAACTTCTTTATAGGTCGTCTTAATATTGGGGTTTGCAGGAGCATGCCGTTCTGATGAATTAGTCAATTTAACAATTGATAATGTTGAAGATGTGAAATCCGCCTTAATTATAAAAATTCCCAATACCAAAATCAAGAGACCACATTCTTTTACCTGTGCTGAGAGACAATTATTTAAGTTTTTATCGAAAATATGTTGCTTTAAGTCCATCCGGATTGGTAGAACGTTCACTATTTCTCAGATATGTTAGTGGAAAGTGTCATCCAATGGAGGTCGGTATTCAGAAAAATCAGTGTCATCTTGCAAGAAGAGGCAAAATTTTTGAAGCTGGACAACTGGAAAGAGTACAGTGAACATGCATTACCACCAAAGTCTGCTACCCACTTGTCTTAAAAGACACGGAGGATGGAGACCTAGCACTGTGGTGGAAGGCTACAGGCTAGACTCACTTTTGAATAAAGAAAATATTGTGAAAAGAATACTGCGAAAGTTGATAGTGGTAATGATAAAACAAGCACCACTGTCATTTCTGATTTCACATCATAAAATAATATAACTATTAATGAAAACGTATTGGACTGCTTTGAGAATTGCTCCAAGAATGAGGGTAGTGGCAGTTTCAGTTGTTTATTTAATTTTAATACTTGTTCAAACTGTGTGTTTCATATATCAATGTGGATAAACAAAAATTATTGTAAACTTTGTTTATATAAAAATAAAATTAAAAAATTATAATAAATTGTATAAATTAAAACTTGATTAACACTTTTATTCTAAGGATTACTGAATTCTTCTGTTGCTAAGATACCATTTTTTTTCTCAATAAAGAAAATGTCAACCTTAGAGACTTCTGACCGGCCAAAAATGTTATAGGTTTGTGACGTTTGGAGAAAAACCTTATTTTTTAAATTGTTGAAAAACATTGACCTAGACTATTAGAGAAAAAAGGATACTTATGCTTAGTTTTGATAAATCAAACTATTTTTGAGAAATATAAGTTTAGATATGATTTGTGGTTTATTAATAAGTTTCATAACATCGATCACATACGCTTTAAAGTATCACAATATTTCTGAACAATTTCTATAAAAAAAAAAAGGTAGTCATTGACTGATGATCAACTCTATAGGTGACACATTTAACTAGTTTCTCATTTTTCTGGGTATTTTTCCACATTCTAAATTATATATACACGGTGTATCTAAATAACACCGAAAAAATGTAAGGGGCGATTTTCTGATGAACATGGCCACTAGATCTTTCAGCAAAATACACCCGCGTTAAACAGCTCATCTCTTTAAAAAGGCATTGCAACACATTTATTTTTGTTTCTCATAAATCCATAACTTTTCGAAAAAACTTGAAGAGATCTCTCTATCGCCCCTTATATTTTTTCGGTTTTATTTAGATGCACCCTGTATAACCTTCTACACGAGGACCAGTTTTTAACAAATTTTTCCAATAATTTTGAAATCTCACAATAAGAAGTAGACAAATATTTACAAACACTTTTCACAGGTATCTGGTTTAAATATAAATACTTTAACACATTGTAGTACAATTAATTACTGATTTAAATCATCACTGATTATTATGGAATAGAATACAAAACACAATCCATTTTATTACCGTTAATATGGCTGCCGATGTTGACTATTACTTCTTGAATCTGCACTGCTATTTCTCTGGTAGGTGCTAAGATTAAAATTTGTGTCTCATGCTTCTCTACTGCAATAGTTTCCAGAGCTATTATAGAAAACACCAAAGTCTTTCCTGTGCCTGATTTTGATTTCACAATTATATCTGTAAAAACAAAAATATAGATTAAACCTTTTAGTGGATAAGACCGCTTTCAGCACCAATCACGTGATGCGCATGCTATTGAGACATTCTCGGTAACGCGACTGAGTGGCCCGTCTGAAACTAATTGTTACTGAAGACACCACTTTATATAATTAAAAAAAAAACTAGTTATTTACTTTTCACGTCATTAAAAAAGACGATTTATTATCAGGTATTATTTAAATTAAAGTTGGCTTGACTGAGCCACTAATGTGGCTCCTGTGATGAGATTACAGCAACATGTGGTGGACAGTGGTGGCGGAAACTAGCGATTTTCTGCCACAGAAGCTCGCTAACGTCATTCGTTTTGAAAACGGAAGCATTTTAACATGTAAAACAATGGCGATTTAGAGACCGCTACTGAGTAGCCAGTTTGGAAGTGGCCTATATGGAATTACATAATAACTAATTTAAAATAAACTACCCCTGATTATAAATAAGAAAATTTTAAAATTAGTTTGGTATTTCGGTTTCATGAACTAGCTGCCTTATTACCTTTTAGTCAAAAGTAGGTACTTCTTTGTCATATATTTATTTATAATATATGTCTAAGGTTTTGTTTGTTTTCAGTTATATTAATATACATACCTACAATCTTTACACTTTTTTTATTTTGTACTAAATAAAAATGGTCATTATTTTAAGGTGATTAGCCATAAATACTACTACCTTAGATAATACGAATTAATATGTTGAATTAAGAGTTTAATCGTAAAAAAATTATGATTGCACTTTATGACGGGTAAGGCTATGTAGAATGATAATATCAAAAAAGTTACTCGAAAGAAGTGACGTCAAGTTCAATCTAAAGGCTTCATTGAAACCCTTTCTAAGCAACAAGAATTGGGTTTCCAATTGCTTCCCCACCCACTGCATGCTCCAGATCTGGCCCCCAGAGACTATCATCTCTTTGCAATGCTCAAAAGAATGCTCCAGGGAAAGAGATTTAGCACAAATGATGAAGTCATATTGGAAACTGAAAAGATTTTTGGACAATTTGTTCTATAAAAAAGGCATCGAAATGTTAGAGAAATGTAGGAATTAATTTATCACTCTTAAAAGAGACTTCGTTGATGAACAGTTGAATTTTGCAAAACAAAAGTTTTTTTAGTATTTACTCCCATGACTTTGTGACCCATATGTTAATAGAACTTGGCTAAGGGTACGAAGACTACATTGCAAAATTTTCCATATAAAACTAGTAAACTTACGAAATTTCAAATTGAACTACTCACCAAATCCGCACCTCCCAACAGGAATTGATTTTAACTGAATCGGAGAAGGTTTTCTAAAACCAGACTCTTTAATACCCTTTAGAACATTTTCACTTAACATCAACGATTCAAAAGTTATATTTCCATGAATGGTAACGTCTTTCGTTCTATTGTTAACTTCCAAGGAATGAGCTATAATTTGCGACATCCTAAAAACTTAATAAAATGGTAATAACTTTCATAACTGTATACAACATACAATAATAGTGCAAAATCACAACACCCGAACACACAATATTTTTTTTTCAAAACAATGTTTTTTAGGTTAACCGGTTTTAACAACATCATCGACTTTATAAACTACTGGACTCAGGACTGTCAATTTGCTAATAATATAAACCGCTATCGCATAGACGTATGCGATAGAAATAGAGCTAGTGCAGGCAAGAGTGCGTCGTTCACAGATCTTCGACTGCAGCCTGCTATACTTAAATTTAACAAATCATGGAATTGTACGTCCCTCGATTCATTACCCAATTTTTGTGTAGCGCGGTACTACTTGAAGTTAAAATGATTTTAACTGCATTTCAGTTCCGAGCTGGCAGCCGAGCAGAGCAGACGTGTTTTGTGAAAGTGTAGTGCAAGGAACAAAATCTACCTGCCTTTATTAAGGCTACCTGCCTCTTAATCACCGACCTAATCCCCGGCTTAAGCATAGAGGCCGTCGGTATCTTTGTTACAGGTACCTGCGCCGAGGTTATGCCCAGGTAAGTCACACTTTTACTTATTTATCAGTTATTTGCATTACTTTAGAATACATTTCTTTAAAATTGCGACCCCCGACAAACAATATACCAGACAGTCAAATAAACCAAAAGACACGTACGCCCCCGTAAGGGGGCATCCCCACACGACTGACACGTACACACCCTCATACATACACGCACACACGCACAAAATGTCGGACTCCGAAAACGAGGAGAACATATACATATACATGGACGATACAGACAGCGAAAGTCCCTCTTCAAGGGTCTCCACCAAAAAACATGACCAAAAAAACTGATTTATACGAACAGTTACTAACACAAAAAACATGAAAACGAGACGCCGCGATGTCATGTGCCAACTTTCGTAGATTTAGCTCAATTTGTTATTTCGCTTTCGCATTATTTATTTGAATTTGATATAGCGTCGTGACCCGTTATTTTGTCCTAAATTACTACTAATAAATTTTTATTACAAATAAAATTGGAAATGGATAAACGAAGAAAATCTTTCCTGTGGAATTTATTTTTACCAACGCATGAAAATAAACCTTGTTGTAATACATATATGCAAGCAAAATATTTGTTATAAATCTTCAATCACCAATTTAAAAAGACACATAGAACGACGACATCATACAGTGAGTACAGTGCCAGATATTCAAAATTTTTCCGCGAGTGCAACAAAAACAAATGAACAGTCGCATGTTTTTTGCTGTCTATGTGATTTTGTAAACAAAAACTGTTAAAATATTTGTAGCGCAGCAACCAGCAATACACGCATTGCTCTATATAGTCGCTGAAATACAATGTCTTTAAATCAAACACGACTGTACTGAGACTGTATTGTGTTTAGTGTGTGACACTGTGACTAATACAAGCGCAGATCGCAACGGCTGAGCGAGAATCTGCTCTGCTGTGGCCGGCACGCCTGAGCTATGTCTCTGGCGCTAGTAAATTGCACTTTGCAGTAAACGCTCCGAAAAATCACTGCTTCTTTTGTCGCAGCGGAACAGTCAGCTCCAGTGACAACTGCGGAACAGTGCCAAAGTAGCAGACAGTGAAAGAGCAACACATCTCTACTTGCCAATAAATTCGTCAATTAATTGATGAAGAACTTCGTCAATTTATTGATGAATAAATTGTCAATGTAAAACAGCTAT